GACAGGTGTCATAGACTGCCCAATATATTGAAGTCCATTTTGACAGGGGATGTTGTGATTGGGGGATTTCTTGTCAATTAGGCCGATAGGTGGTATGATGTGCATTAACTGCGAACGTATTATGTTGTGGCTTCTGAATACTTTTTGATTTTATTCTGTTTATATATCCTCATTAGTTTTCAAAGAGACTTTTGATATAGAGGGGATGTGGTTGTGTGGTTGTAATATTATTTCTGCTTATTATTGGTTTTTATCTTCTTTATTTTCTTCTTTATCAAGTGTTCCGGGTATCCATTATTGCATTGAAGTGCTTCTCTTCCTTCTTCTTGGTATTTTTGGTATTACAAATCTTGTTCATTCTTGAAACTAGGCAGTCTATGACACCTGTCTTTATACTGTTGGGAGTGGTTTGTTTTATAATCGAGACATTTACCTGTCACAAATCTTATTCTTTCTTGAAATGAGGAATACCGAATGTTGAGTCATCAAACCGCTTTTTGTATAATGATAGGTGGTCTTGTTTTATCCTACGTTCCGATTGCAAATCTGCTGCCATTTTCAGAGAAGTCCTGATAAGAACTTTTGTTTTTGTATAATGATAGGTGGTCTTGTTTTATCCTACGTTCCGGTTGCAAATCTGCTGTCATTTTCAGAGAAGTCCTGATAAGAACTTTTGTTTTTCTGGTATATGATGAGATTCGAACCTGGGTTTCCTTGATATGGTAGATAATGGGCTATCCGTTCCCCTGGAGTCTCCCCCTTTAGAACTTTAACGAACTAATTATTTGAAAGTTTTCAAGAGGATTATTCATGTTTTACTGACTTCTAAATGTTAGGTTGGTTGAGTTTTTTTATCACTTAGATGGACGTACATGTTTTATTTTATCTTTCTTTTTATTATGTGTGGTTCATACCCAATTATTTCAGTATTATAGTATAGTGGACTGTTATAGATAGATCAGTATTACAAAGTATTGTTTATATATTATATCTCTGAATTCTAACATTTATTGATCATTCTGTTTCTTCTGCTCAAAGCTTACTACTCGATTAGAGTAGCCGAACAGCTGACGGTGAGTGCTTTGGACTAGCTACCTTCCCTCTACACTATCTGTTTAAAATTAGGCATGATTTGCACAAATAGTATTTGTTCAGCTTTTCGCGAGTATCAGAAACAATTGGTTGTTTTTAAAACCAAATCCACATTGGGCTATCTGCTGTGTCCACCGCGGGAATCAAACCTCAGATTTAAGCGTTCTAGGTCCGTAAGCTTACCAATGTTTCACCTGGGAACATCATAAACAAACGAGTCATATAGTACTCAGTATATATTACTTGTATTTTATAAAGTATTCGTACAGTTTACACCTAAATGTTTATCTTTCATGAACACTTGTTTGTTATTCTGAGGGCCAGTAATGGTGTAATTAAACACGTTTTTTACGCAGTGTTAAAAATGCAAATGTAGGATATTTTTTCTGTTAAATGGAAGTACGGAATTGTTTGAATGATTTATTTTTGTATTGTTTTCTTGTAATCTAATAATTATTTTTATGAGGGGGGAAACAGATAAAATTTTTCAGTTGCAAATTATTTCGAGTGGTTAGCGAAATAGGATTGTGAATCTGTGGGTTCCTTGTTCGCATCCTATTGCTGCACAAATGCGCTTTTCATTTTAGGGCAGTGTGTACCCACCGCGCTATAAAAGTGATAGATAAGAGGCTATTATTTACTGTTTAAATGGATTTATATTTCAGCTCCAACATTTCTGACATTTTGTTACTTTGAAGGAACGGTGGTGGAGTGGAGACTAGAAGCTCCGCCTTAACTTAAAGGGAATTTATTTCAATTATTAACATTTCAATAATTGAACTCCTTTTATAGGGGATGTTCTCCGGAAAACTTAAAGAATTCAAAGCTCTTTTATAGGGCTGTTCTTCGGAAAAGTTAAAGAATTCAAAGCCCTTTTATGGGGGCTGTTCTTCGGGAAACATAAAGAATTCAAAGCAGAAAACAACCGACATACAATTATTGTTAGATATATAAAAGACTTGGCATAACCTTCTGGTCAGGGCGCTCGATTTGCAACCTGCCATTTGAGGGTTCGAAATCCTTCACCGAATATGCTCTCTCTTTCAGCCGTGAAGGCATTATAATATGACTAATATGACGGCCAATCCCACAATTCGATTAGAGGACCCCAAGAGTTGGCGGTGGGTGGTGTTAACTAATTGCCTTCCCATAGTCTATCACTTATAAATTTGGGACGGCTAGCGCAAATAGTTCCCGAGATGCTTAGCACGAAATTAGACCTGGTGGGGGACACCACTGAGCCACTGCCCGGTTTCTATCACCTAACCAGAAAGCAATGGACACAGGCAACAGGCTGAAGTCAGGCCATGGCAGAACAGCGGCCAACCTGCATCGATGGGGTTATCGTGAATCCATTACATGCCCAGCATGTCAAGAATCCCCAGAATACACAGACCATCTCATGTTGCACTGTCCGGTCACTGCGGTACCGGGGGGATATGGTACAATCCATGAAGCGGGCGAGGCATTCATTGACTGAATCCTGACTGCGAATTTGGAGGTGTGAGAAACATCATACGCAACTACTAGCACGAAATTCAGCAAACAAACAAAATACATATATAACAAAAACTCAGTTTTCAGAAATATAGTTTAAGTGAATTTTAAGTTTTCGATAAAGAAAATTTCATTCGTTGTTAGGCGCAGAGCTACAAAATGGGCTATCTGTGCTGGGTCCACCGCGGGTATCGAAACCCGGTTCATAGCGTTGATAAGCCTTCAAACGTAACGCTGAGCCACTATAGGGCGATAAAGATTGTTTGTTAGTTTGTAGTTAAGCACAAAGCTACACAATGGGCTATCTGTGCCTGCAACACTATAAACCAGGTTTCTAGCTTGTAAGTTCGCAGACATGTTGCTGTGCCACTGGGGGGCCATAAAGAAAAGGGGCACAATTTTATCTTCGGATCCCACTGTAACGCTCTATATAATCACAATACTAATATATAATGATAATACTTCTGCCTATAGACAAGTGTGCTCACAACCTTTTGGTAGCTCCTTTTTTCTGGGTGTTGTTAGCATTAACCATCAAGCTGTTTATTTCTGTTTCGTTTCCCATTTTACTGAAAAAAAAAATCAAAATTACAGAACCCGTAAATGAGGAGAGACGTGATTTTTAATTACCGCAACACACGTAAAAGAACAAGAGGAAAATACGTATGACAGCAAATTTGTATTATATTTGTGAAGTTGATAAGCGCTGTGTTTGTGTTTAAGCCTAAAAGATTATATGTATATATATATAAGTTATAACCGGTTTATAAGATCACAAAGAAAAGTGTAAAACATTTTGAAAGCGCAAGGCTTAAAGGAAATATAATACATTTCTAGGAAAGATAAAAATCTCGACGTGTGAGTTTCTTTTTGTCTTATTGTTAAAAACTGATCCACATTTTAGATATCGTTTGTCCTTGTTTTTGTTTCGACAACAAAAAAGCGTTTGAGGTTTCGTATTAATTCTTCATATTCTTGAGTTTAAAACGTTAATTTCTTCTGAAGAAAGTCCCAACTTTTCAACTGTTTTCAATTCTATTAAATAAAAATGCTTTTTCACTTGAATAGTTACTTCATCCTATATTATTTTCATTATTATATTTTATTAATAATCTGTATTATATACAGATATATTCAATCCAGCAATATGGTGTGCACAACTTTTACACTTTATGTCTTTAACATCGAAATTTCTGTGAATACACATTTTTTAAAAACACATCTCGAATGAAACAGGGTCAACACCAAAGAACCGCTCAACGATCATCGTTATTGTGTTAGTGATAAGATATTTGAAAGGAAGTTAATATAATAACAAAATGTAAACAAATTACAAGAAGAGCAGTTTGCATAATACATGAAGGCGGAAGTCAGCGTTCTATTTGTTTTCTTATAAGTAAAAAGGAAAAAGAAAATAATGAGATAATCCTAACAATGTTACTCATATAAGAGTATAATGGTAAATTTTACATGTTCTTATATATATATAGACTATTTTATACCAATATGATCATTAGTGTGTTTCAGCGTATAAAAATCTCATCAACATTTTGTAGCATAAAATATGATCATTAGTGTGTTTCAGCATATAAAAATCTCATCAACATTTTGTAGCATAAAATATGATCACCAGTGTGTTTTAGCATATAAAAATCACATCAAGATTTTGTAGCATAAAATATGATCACCAGTGTGTTTTAGCATATAAAAATCTCATCAAGATTTGTAGTATAAAACATGATCATGAGTGTGTTTCAGCGTATAAAAATCTTATCAATATTTTGTAGTATAAAATATGATCACCAGTGTGTTTCAGCATATAAAAAATCTCATCAACATTTTGTAGCATAAAATATGATCACCAGTGTGTTTTAGCATATAAAAATCTCATCAAGTATTTTGAAGTATAAAATATGACCACCAGTGTGTTTTAGCATATAAAAATCTCATCAATATTTTGAAGTATAAAATATTCACCAGGGTGTTTTAGCATATAAAAAATCTCATCAATATTTTGTAATATAAAATATGATCACCAGTGTATTTCAGCATTAAACTAATTTTATCACCACTTCATATCTTTGCCATTTCTCCAGCGTTCGTGACATGGATGTTCAAAGAAGGTGATGAGGAAACTGAAATGAAAACATACAACACAGCAGGTATTAAACAACAGCTACCTACGTAACAAAACGTCACTAGTCAGAAAAAGAAGCTGTCTTCACAATTACCTAAAATTATATAAAATTATTGAATAAACTAACGGGAAAAAACAGCTTAGTGGAACAGTATTTGAAAAGTAAAACTTTCTAAAAATATTATGAATAAAAACCTCTGTTTTTTGTTTAAATCGGCTGTAGTACATGCACATAGACATGGGGGAGGGTGCGGCGGATTTGATAAGTATATCCTTAATACCTGAAGCTTTATAATATGTTATTAACCAAGTATATCATTAATAGCTGAAGATATAAAATATGTTATTAATCAAGTATATCCTTAGTACTTAAAGCAATACAATATCTTATTAACCTAGTATATCCTTAATAGCTGAAGCTATAAAATCTGTTATTAACCAAGCATATCCTTAATACCTGAAGTTATAAAAACTGTTATTAACCAAGTATATCCTTAATAGCTAAAGATATAAAATATGTTATTAAATAAGTATATTCTTAGTAGTTAAAGCTATACAATATCTTATTAACCTAGTATATCCTAAATACCTGAAGCTATAAAATCTGTTATTGACGAAGTATGTCTTTAATACCTGAACCTATCAAATCTGTTATTAACGAAGTGTGTCTTTAATACCTGAACCTATCAAATCTGTTATTAATCAAGTATATATTTAATACTTGGAACTATGAAATATGTTATTAATCAAGTTTACCCTTAATAGACGAAGTTTTATAATTTGTTATTAATCAAGTATATCCTTAGTAGGTAAAGCTTTATAGTCTGTTATATATTAATTATATCCTTACGAGAAGAAGCTTCATAATTTGTTATTAATCAAGTATATCCTTAGTAGGTATATAATTAGTATATAACAGACTATAAAGCTTAATATATAACAGACTATAAAGCTTTACCTACTAAGGATATACTTGATTAATAACAAATTATGAAGCTTCTTCTTGTAAGGCTTTTTATAAAATGTGTCTTCCATGTTTGAAGTTATATCAACTTTTTTTAAAACATAATGCTAAAGTTGCTATCTTACGGTTTTACAGTGATAGGAAGGGAACGATAGATAACGAATTGACATTTTTTAAAAGGCTTAGTTAAGATTTCTATTGATGAACGTTTATAATCTTACAAAACCGTTCGTTGCACTAATCACGAAATGTGTCTTTGGATTAACTAAAAGTTCTAAAGTAGATAACAAATAAAGAATGTTTTATTTTGCATTTAAATAAAACTGACTTTCAAACAATAACTTTGAATTCGTGTAAAATGGTCACGGCAAAATACTAATGGATATTTGCATTCACTCTTATTTGGAATCCTTAATTGTGTTTGGTGTCTCAGAAATTTGTATATATTTCAAACTATCTTCCCTGCTCACGTCTTCCTCGTGTACTTTAAGCGAAATTATGATTCAACGTAAATTTTACTTATTCCACGTATCCTCCTGTAATAAACGTTATTCAGTTAATTTAGGCTTAATAGTCACTGTTTAGCTTTGCACAAGTAAGAAATAACTACAATGTATACTTAGCTTTCCATCATTATGCTCTGTATAATGTCTTTCTCTTTTACGGTTATTTCACTCGTTTAGTTGACAAACAATTTAGTGTCAATTGATTATTTATATACTTGCTATTTTTCGACATAAATACTTAATAATATGGTCATAAAATGATGTTATATCGAAGGAAATGCGTAATTACTCTAGCTGTGATTTATCTAATTTATAGGAAACTCAATTCTGTGGTCAAAATGTCGTGTAATCTACTAGTAAAAACTGTTCACCCAGAGAAGCTGAAATGTTGTAACTGGTTCATCAGGTGGAAAACGAAACTTTATAATAAATTTTAAAAACGCGGTAATACAGAAAAACATTTTTAATTATGGACGTTTCGGAATTGTTTCGAATTTCATCACCAGCGTTAAAACCTCAAAAAGTTTGTTCATAATATTCTAACAGCAAATTTTCTGTAGTTAGAATATGGCGAACTAACTTTTTTGAGTGATGAAATTTGAAACAGTTCCAAAAGTCCATAATTGAAAATGTTTTTGGTATTCCCTTGTTTTTAATATTTATTGTTACTTATTCGTTATTCATAATTTCAGTTTAATCATTTAATATTAATATTAATTAATTTTCAGTTGTAGCACGGTTATTTTTTATTTTTCGGGTAAAAGAACATTTCGTGATTGCAGAACATTTCGAGAGAACCGTTTAAACTAATCACATCATTATGATTTGCTTTATACTAAATGGTTTCATTAAACTTAAACTGGTCAAATGAAGCTAATAATCCACAATTTTTTTCCTAATTAAAATCTCTAATCCAGGATTTCCACGTAATGTTCACTCGTTGATAAGCTACCTTAGTGCAGTGCAATGTATGTACATTCCATGTGGTTTTGTAAAAAATAAAAGATCGTGTTCTATTTCAGGTTGTATTTGTAAGAGAATATGGTATATAGTATTAACTATTAGGCTATAACCTTTATGGATCTAAAGTGTTATCGTGTAGATTAAAATCAAATATGGTATCATTATATCTGAGCCATGGTAAAATAACAAACAAAAGCCATAAATATAACAAAGTTACTATACTAGAACGAGGTCCTAAAGTCACCCAATAAACTGAGACATCAAGGATATAAGTAGAAGAAAGAAGACATACCACACTCAATATACTACAGTAAAATCTTATATTAAGCAAATATACAATACACAATGTTTCTAAATCTATTTTTCATATTATCATATCAATAGCAATACAAAATATGTCAAGGCCGAAATTGAGCAAAAATATTATTACAAGACTGCAAACTACAGGAAATGAACTATGATTTCGATTCCGTACAATAGACTATGATAAATAAACAAAATATAATGTTAAGACTTTCAAAGATAACAGAAACTAGGATAATAAAACTGTACTAATAAACGAAGACCGACCAACTAACACAAAAAATCAGAAGCAAGGCAGTAAGTTCAACTATTAATCTTGAACACAGTTAACGTATCTTTTCAGACCAGATTTTACCATTCAAACTTTAAATTGTAATACAGCATACAACTTGGTTCTTTTGTCAAGATTCCATTGTGCATGTCAAGAAAAATCCCCAACAGAAGCTAAAATTCGGTACATAGATCGAAAGGAAACTTAGTGTGGGGATCGAGATTCTGTAAAACAAGACACATTTTTACACCAAACTCTAGAAATATAAAACTGTATTCGACATTCATAACCCCGTGGAGGGTGAGAAGTTGGAGTAAATACTTCAAAAAAGGAATTTCATATGAAACCAGGAACCTGCTCCTTCCTAACAATTATGGCTTATGCAAGGTAGCATTCTATCCTGCTTTGAAGTCTTCACCATGATGTGAATATCACCATCCCTTGGTTACGGTAAAGTAAGCCCATCTATATCTAATGACTGTTTCATGAATCTGTTTAAGGTAACGTAATAATTTCTTTATAAAGTGAAAGCTAATTAAGGCAGGGCTGGTAGCTTCACCATGACTGCCCCCACTGTATAGGTTCTCTGAAGCAACTTCTGAACGTACTTCAATAGCAACTTTACCATGACTGTCTCCACTGCATAGGTTGTCGGAAAACGCCTTCTGAACGTACTTCAATATCAACTTTACCATGACTGTCTCCACTGTATAGGTTCTCTGAAGCGCCTTCTGCACGTACTTCAATAGCAACTTCACCATGACTATCTCCATTGTATAGGTTCTCTGAAGCAACTTCTGAACGTACTTCAATATCAACTTTACCATGACTGTCTCCACTGTATAGGTTGTCGGAAGCGCCTTCTGCACGTACCTAAATAGCAACTTCACCATGACTATCTCCATTGTATAGGTTCTCTGAAGCAACTTCTGAACGCACTTCAATAACAACTTCACCATGACTGTCTCCACTGTATAGGTTGTCGGAAGCGCCTTCTGCACGTACTTCAATAGCAACTTCACCATGACTATCTCCATTATATAGGTTCTCTGAAGCAACTTCTGAACGTACTTCAATATCAACTTTACCATGACTGTCTCCACTGTATATATTGTCGGAAGCGCCTTCTGCACGTACCTAAATAGCAACTTCACCATGACTATCTCCATTGTATAGGTTCTCTGAAGCAACTTCTGAACGCACTTCAATAACAACTTTACCATGACTGTCTCCACTGTATAGGTTGTCGGAAGCGCCTTCTGCACGTACCTGAATAGCAGCTTTACTATGACTGTCCCCACTGTAGAGGTTCTCTTGAAGCACATTCTGAACATACTTCAATAACAACTTCACCATGACTGTTCCCACCGTAGGCGTTCTCTTGAAGCACATTCTGCACGTACTTCAATAACAACTTCACCATGACTGTCCCCATTGTAGAAGTTCTCTTGAAGCATATTCTGCACGTACTTCAATAACAACTTCACAATGACTGTCCCCACTGTAGAGGTTCTCTTGAAGCACATTCTGCACGTACTTCAATAACAACTTCATCATGACTGTCCCCACTGTAGGTACAGTGGGGACAGTCATGGTGAGTTGTTATTGAAGTACGTGCAGAATGTGCTTCAAGAGAACCTCTACAGTGGGGACAGTCATGGTGAAGTTGTTATTGAAGTACGTGCAGAATGTGTTTTAGGAGAACCAGAGGTTATCCTGAAGCACATTCTGCACGTACTTCAATAGCAACTTCACCATGACTGTTCCCACTGTAGAGGTTCTCTTGAAGCACATTCTGCACGTACTTCAATACCTAAGTATTAACCTTGTGTTATACATAAAATGAAAAATAATCACATAAGCTCTTACAATAATTTTATATCTGCCCTTTATTTATTAGTTTAATGTAATTTCAAGTGATGTTTAACAACATATGTTTATTTGTAGTTTTTAATATATATAATATTATTTATATATATATATAATCGTATGTTGATCTTTTGTTAATACCGTCGGCGTAGCAGGGTAATGTAGTCAAAAACACTAATGAAACTTAACAAGACATTTGCAGTATCGCTAATCAATACAGGGCGTTAAACACCACAGTGATAGATTGAAAATTTACGCGACTTGATTAAAATTCCTTGAGTAAAGGAAGAATTATGATTATACAGTAGTTTATGTATCATTACGAGGTTGATATCACAACCATGGAGGGCGTATCTTTATTTTGTCACGTTAAATCCAATCTGAGAGATTATTTTCACAACCTCTATTTTCCTAGTTCAGTTTTTTTCAAGAAAACAAACACTGTAGAAAAGTGTGAACTCTGAAATTAGACACCTCAGTTTTTAACTATGGATTTATCACTAGGACAGCAGTATCGGTCGAAAACTACTACAAAAATATAATTAGTAAATCAATTTTTCACATTCATTTAAAACACATACAATTTAACAAGTAATATATATATATCATAAATTTGACCGGTAGTTTCGATAAAAACAATACCAGAAACAGATTTTTACATGTAATTTTTATATAACTATTTTGCAACGCTACAAATTCCAATTACTCAAAGAATGGCACAACATATTCTGATTAAATGAGGAACACAAAAACAACACAACACATATATATTCACGAACATATTTATAATAATATGTATATGCATATTGGTCTGTGCTTCAATATTACCAAGGAATAATAGGGCGTGTTGCCCTGAGTTTGACATTACCGCCTCTACAGCAATGCGCTCTAGAAGTGACTTGAATACTTGGACCTGGTGACCTCAGTTTTTATTTCCCGAGCCATTTCATTGGGTATTAAGGCAATACGAGTCCGCCTTATTGGCTGTTAACCACTTGTCCGCGAATTCCTAGGCCCGCCTTTTGCAGAAGCCCAGTAGCTGCTTAGTCCTCTCAGGTCGCCATTTTGTAGAGCATCTGTCGCGATGAGGGTTTTCCACGTGATTATCCCCAAACAGCCGTCTGCCACCGTTACAGGAAACATTGTATTCAACATAAAACAAACAAACAAAACAAGCACAGAGTGAAACTTGATGTTCTTTTTAAACGTCACTTTTTTTAGAATCTCAAAAGAGTACTTAAAAAAAAAAAACGTGCGAAAATATCGATTATTCTTAGACTATCAGAAAAAAACCAGTTCGTGTATTGAAGACCCAGTTCGTGTATTGAAGACACGGTATTGAAAACGAGTTTTGCATAATGGGAGTTTACTGTAGTAAAAATAGAATTACTTTAGCCATATATTTTTATGACGTATCCAGAAGTTGAAAAAAAGGAAGAAAGAACCTAGCATGCTCTAATTATTTTAAACTATTTGTATCATGCTATTTCGCATTTTTGTTTTTATTGCTCGTCTTATGTTTTCAGTTAAGTGTAATAAATGAGTCAGTTAATACCGGAAGTTTGTTTCTAAAAAGCATAATAACTTACTGTTGTGAGAAGAAGGCTGCTGTTCTTCTAAAACAGGTTCACCTAAGAGGACGAGTTCGAAGTCGATACAAACGTTGATAAATTCTAAAAATATTATAAGTATGTTTACTATACTGCTATGCTTTGTTACTTGTTATGTTATTCTTGATTGAAAATAAACTTTAATCGACATTCGCCTGTTTTGGGTAAGAGATGTTATAACAACATCTCTCTCTCTCTCTCTCTCTCTCTCTATATATATATATATATATAACCGAATTATTACATTGAGACTGAACTGAGTACCCAACTGTAACTAAATCTTTATATTATTTTATACGAAACTGTAGATCAAAAGATGTTCAGATTGAAGAAATAGCAAAGTAAGTAAGACATTTTATGGCCCACATTAGGTTTCTGTGTTAAAGGTTTTTACGGTAGACACAAAACACGTTGTCAATTGCAATCAGCTTTGTTTTTCAGACTATAGTGAAATACTTCAATATTCTTATGATAAACTGCCGCATTGTTAGAGTGAAGTTAGATTTATTAAAACATACAGTTGGACGTTTCAGCTTGCTTCCATAAAAATCTGACTATGATTCATATTACAAGACATACATGTATATATATATAGTTACTGAGAAATATGCAATCTTTATCTGTATAAAGTATGGGAAAAATACATTATGTATTTGTTTGTTCGTTTTTAGTTTAAGCACAAAGCTACACGATGGGCTATCTGTGCTCTGCCCACCACGGGTATCGAAATCCGGTTTCTGGCGTTGTAAGTCCGCAGACATACAGCTGGACGATTGGAGGCTACATTATTTATAAATGTGGTATTATCTGACTACGGTATTTTTTTTAACATTTCACACACTTTATATATCGTCATATATGAAGTATGAGATATGTTTACTCGGTAAATTATATCTACATATATGTTAATTAGCTATAACTTTGCAAAATATTCTAAAACACATCGTTTAAACTACTGCATGCACATATATTGCTATATGCTAGAGCAGTCTACGTTTGGTATTTTCAACCTAAACGGCAAGTTATGCGACACATGGGCAAAAGTTCGGGTCAGAGATCTCTATGGTTCAGTTATATCCATCGCCTAGTTTAGAACTGCTAACCAGAGGGAGGACAACCAGTAAGCAGCACCCGTGAACTTATACATGGCCAATCTTAACCAAATAACACGATTGAACGGTTCCCTATAGCTGAAAGTACAGAGCGTGTTCAGTGACTTATCGAGGCTCGAACCTTAAGACTTTTGATCCGCAGGCCGGGCTCTGTATACAGTAGAGATACAGTTACATGTATAACGCTAGCTGAATGACTCACCTGATAGTCAGGATATATAGAAATTGTATAGTGGCAATTAAATGTATAATGCTAGCTGAATGACTCACCTGAAAGTCAGAATATATAGAAATTGTATAGTGACAATTACATGTATAATGCTAGCTGAATGACTCACCTCAAAGTCAGAATATATAGAAATTGTATAGTGACAATTACATGTATAATGCTAGCTGAATGACTCACCTGAAAGTCAGAATATATAGAAATTGTATAGTGACAATTACATGTATAATGCTAGCTGAATGACTCACCTCAAAGTCAGAATATATAGAAATTGTAGAGTGGCAATTAAATGTATAATGCTAGCTGAAAGTCAGAACATATAGAAATTGTATAATGACAAGTACACGTATAACGCTAGCTGAGTGACTCACCTCAAAGTCAGAATATATAGAAATTGTATAGTGACAATTACATGTATAATGCTAGCTGAATGACTCACCTGAAAGTCAGAATATATAGAAACTTCATGCATGTTGAACTCGTTGCTGCTGTTGTAAACTGAACTTTCCATTGAAACTGGTTGTCATCTGTACAAATAATTTGACAGAAATGTTTCATGCATATATGAAAAGCTATGCGTGTCATAATTATATTAAGAATGTATCAGCTTCTCTTCCTTAAACTAGATTACTTGTGCAGATTCCCCGAAACTATTCTGTTTTAAGAGTAAATGAAACCAAAATTAAGAGTTACAAATATTTTTATTTCTTGCACTTGAAGTTCGTGTCATGCTGTAGTGAGTGCATAATTCTTCTCGTGATTCATGGCACGCGCACATTTTACTAATTGCAAGCTAAGCGTCCCTTAAGTGACGTAATTTTAATGTCTAACTAATTAGCTGACTGACAGACAACACACTACTGTAGAGTGATGCGAGTGGTTAAAATTATCCTCTTCTAGAATATCAACTTACTTTCAGAAATTATAATATTATCGCTCTTCCTGCATAAAATTGTCAATCTTTATATATATATATAATAAAAACAGTAAGATTTATCAATATTTCAATGTCATACCGATATAAACATCCGTATTTTGTTGGTGTCAATATCAAAACATCATATACACATGTATCGTATGTAGTTTATGTACGCTTCTCATAAGATACGTATAGATAATACTATAACTGATGTGATTTTCTTTTAAAAAACATGAGCATAGAGCGAATGACTTAATACATTTGAACATTGTTATCAACATCGTACGTAAAAACATGACTTTATGTATGTTTAAAAGATTGAACTTCTATGTACAAATATGCCGTATATGTGTGTGAGTTTGTTTTAAAATCTCAAATTATTTGTACAGGAATGTACAAGAATGGCTTTTGCGTGTTTAAAACACTAGATTTGTACGTGTACAAGAATGGCTTACGCGTGTTTAAAACACTAGATATATACAATTACAAGAATGGCTTATGTGTGTTTAAAACACTAGGTTTGTACGTGTACAAGAATGGCTTATGTGTGTTTAAAACACTAGATATGTACAATTACAAGAATGGCTTATGTGTGTTTAAAACACTAGATATGTACAATTACAAGAATGGCTTATGTGTGTTTAAAACACTAGATATGACCAATTACAAGAATGGCTTATGTGTGTTTAAAACACTAGATATGTACAATTACAAGAATGGCTTATGTGTGTTTAAAACACTAGATGTGTACGTGTACAAGAATGGCTTATGTGTGTTTAAAACACTAGATGTGTACGTGTACAAGAATGGCTTATGTGTGTTTAAAACACTAGATGTGTACGTGTACAAGAATGGCTTATGTGTGTTTATAACACTAGATGTGTACAATTACAAGAATGTCTTATGTGTTAGTTAAACACTAGATATGTACAATTACAAAATGGCTTATGTGTGTTTAAACTACTAGTATTGTTACATAGTACTAAGAATAGG